ATTCCAAATTCAATTTTCGTTCAATCATGTGATCAAATTGTTTCATCATTTTGGTCACATGACTTCACGATTTTGTTATCAATTTATTTTTGTATATGGGTTTCTAATTTTATTATCCAATCAGGTGCGTAGTTTTGAATTAAACGTCAGAAATTCGTTACTCAACAGTCAAGTTATTCAAACGTAAACAAGGTCATAGACAAGGTCACAAACATCCAAACGAAGGTCAATGCAACAGAATATATGAAATATTCGTTTTATGTTCATTTTAAAGTTCCATAATCGTAATGAACAATCTATCTAGTATCTATCTTATAATATGATCTCCCTTTTAGCGAAAATATGATCTCCATCTTGTAATATACTGAGTTGTTTCGAAGTTGACTGGGAGTAATGATTATAAATAGCACTGTCAAATCGTGAAGTCATGTGACCAAAATGATGAAACAATTTGATCACATGACTTCATCATTTTGGTCACATGACTGAACGAAAATTGAATTTGGAATTATCAAACGTCTTTCCCCGTTTATCAAACGTCTTTCCCCATTTGAAATTCTTAGCGGGATGTGGCCAGTTTAGTGATTTTAGTAATATTATGTTTGAAAAAAGGGGCTACCTTCTGGGCAAATAAGAACTTGCGTTTCGTCTGGCTTTTTCTCGCAATTCTCAATGCATAACTTGATTAAATTTAACCCACGACTTTACGACTGGACCAGCACACGGCGAATTTGACAAATACCACGTTAAAATACTGATAAAAACCCCCACAAACAACAAGTCACTTTTGTTGCCATATTCGAATGACATCTAAAGCATGACTTAGTTGCAAGTGTGGTCACATGCAGGTGTGATTAAGAATCCAATACATAACTATTGTGTTCGACACTGTCGCTCACACACCGGAAACACTGCAAGGCTGCACATATGTCACACAATCATCCTCATAGACGCTGACTACGCTCGTTTGTTTGTTTGAAACCAATGAAAATAGCTTGCTAGTCTAACAATATTTTCAGGTCTTTCAGTCTCAGTGTCATATATATATATATATATATATATATATATATATATATATATATATATATATATATATATATATATATATATATATATATATATATATATATATATATATATATATATATATATATTGTTGTGTTTGTGTGTTCATATACTAAGACTAGTACATGTTGTAAGCTTGGATATATGTGAAGTTAAGATTGTTGCTCAAGCTTGTATTCAGAAAATATCTGAACTCCCAACGGGAATCGAACCCGTGTCTCCCGATTGCCGGTTCGGCGTATGACGAGCCTTTAAGTACAAAGGACGCATATAAACGGTAGGAACCAGGTCTCTAGTTAACATCGCATTGCTGTCTGAAACCCTATAGTCTAGTGGTAAAGCAACCGAACCGGCAATCGGGAGACACGGGTTCGATTCCCGTTGGGAGTTCAGATATTTTCTGAATACAAGCTTGAGCAACAATCTTAACTTCACATATATATATATATATATATATATATATATATATATATATATATATATATATATATATATATATATATATATATATATATATATATATATATATATATATATATATGAATGGGTGTGAGGTACCATGTCTGGATAGTGTTAGCCTGCGTGGCAGGCGGTATTTCTACAGGCAGCGAAAATTAGGGAGGCAAAGGAAATACCGTCTGCCGCAAAACTAGGGGTTTTTGAATTACCCGTCCGCTGGTGAACGGAAAAAACGGATTGGTTAGTATTTTTATGTAGTTGTCAATCAACGGCTAAATTCGGTTAAATGTTAATCATTAACCAAATTTTTTGACGTTTTGAAACTCTGCGTTTTGAAATTAGTTCACGTCAAGTCAGACCAGAAATGGAATAACATAATATAAAAGAAGCAAATTAAAAGATACAAGCTGAAAAATAACACTCTAAATAGTGTTTTTGATAGAGATTCGAACAAGAATATTTAACAAAGAAGATACGTCCGAAGGGGCCGAAGTTATGATCGGCGAAAGGTATGGGCTAGTCTATATTTTCGTTCAGACAATTACATGCGTATTAATTTGATAATATACTATCTCGCTTGACTTTCAAAGGCCATAAATCGCAATAATGTTGACATTTTACTAAAACTATCGATAGAAATGAGGAGATATTTCTTCACTGAATCGAACAGTGGGATTTCCATATAGGCCTATCAGTCATGTTCTGAACCAAAGATACTTGATAGATATTATATGCGAACCTCCAAAGTATAAACAAGGGGCCGGTTGATGCAGTAATTATCAAATAACAGTTAAACTCTTATATACCCGTTGAATATGTATAGTTGTAAACAAATAAAAACTATCGTTCTATAAGGTTTAATACTTTCAGTTTGGTTGTTGACTGATGATGAATCTATAGTATAGACTTGCATGCTTTGTATTTTGAGCTTATTAAACCACCGTTTTAAGGCAGCTAAACGGGCTTGGTTTATATTAACACATAAAATAAATTCCTTAATTCTCATCACTAGACACAGTCTACACTTTGAAATGTCGAAGACAGTGGGAGATTTATTTTTTATATTTTATATTTATATAATTTATATATCAATAGTTCGTATCTCCACAAACAATGACAGAATGACTGAGTTTCTTTAAAATACAATGAAATTTCATTCAAAATTCTGTTTGTTTGAAATTGGAAGTTTAAAATGGCAATAAAAACCCTATATAAAATATAAAAAAATTAACTGTCTTGAATTATTTTGTCGGGCGGTACATTTATATTGTATAACGAAAAATAAAACGTTTTCACGAGGATTTTAAAATTCAGTCGGGCGGTGATGAGAATCAAGGAATTTATTTTATGTTGGGCAGTTGGGACTTGGGAGCAGCTTGGGAGTGGCTAATTTTGAATATTTACTTAATTAATGCATCTATAAATAGCGTTGATGCTTCAGGGGCGGTAGTTCATTTACACCCAGTTTTGCGGCAGGCGGTATTTCCTACGTACCGCCTGCCATGCAGGCTACCCACACTCAGGCCATAGGGAAGGGCCGGGTACACTGGTTATTCCAGAATTTCCCATATACGAAAAATTTAGACATCTACTGGAGCCTCAGAGAAAATGACAAAAAGTACAGCATTCATGTACAATACTTGCAAAAATTGGAATTAATCAGACATTGTCACTATCCGAATTATTCAAGTTATAATTAGTAATTGAATATAAAAGTAAATTGTTTATTAAAGTAATAGACCTTATGCATAATGACATCACAAAGCATGATGTGCCTTGGGAATTCTGGTCTTAGAAGTTATGACTGTAAAACAATCCAATGTGGCTACCGAGTGCTGTTCTTTGTCGTTTTTTTTAGAGGCTGTTCAAGCTAATGAACATCCTAGTTCTTTTCAGAACTCTTGCACAGGTCTTCAGTGGTTTGGCAGTCCTGAAAGTAATGGCAACAGTCTACTTCATCGACCAGTACGAGTAAAAGAAGTGGCAGTTTTACGTGTTGTGTTTCTGGTTGTTTTACCAACAATAAAAGAAATCTTTTTTCCAAATGGTAAAATTGTGGAATCAAAATAACTCAAATTCTTACTAATGTAAGAAGTGGATAAATTTAATTGCCTGCAAAGATTTCTCTCCAACAACAGGCCATAGAGTGTGTTCTTTGTATTTTCCAGAAGGACATAAAACCTACATGAACCAACTGCAATATTTGAATGTGCCAAAGCCTACACCAATAAATTATCGACTAACAATAAAAGCACAGAATATAACTCCTCTATACATAACAGAATATAGTTCGGTATTTGGTTTCTTGTTGGTAAAATAGCCAGGAACACAACACAAAAAACCACTACTTTTACTGGTACATACTGGTCGATGAAAGCGGACTATTGCCGAACACGTTATTTTCAGGGCTGTCAAACCTCTGAAGACCAACGTACGAGTTTTGAAAAGAACTAGGGTCTTCATTGGCTTGACCTCTAAAAGACGACAAAGAACAGCAGCACACTCACTTACGGCAGTGGCTATGTTGAATGGTTTACCATCATGACTAGTAAGACCAGAATTCCCCATCCGCATCACACCTTGTGACGTCATTGTGCATAAGGTCTATTGGAATGTACCACAAATATGTACGAGCATTATTTCCTGAATGAATATTACAATATGCAGAAAACCTACATTGACTTATTTACTTGAAAATACGAAAGTTCACTCTGTTCCAAAGCTACATGTATTGCGATATAAAACTGAAAATTAGTAAAGAAAAAAAAAATCCAATACTTTCAAACTTTATACAGATAATATATAGTGCTGAAATGCACAGGGCGTCAAAAAATACCTGTGGTTCCGGTTTCATATCGCGAAAAAATTTGGGTCAGTAGGTCGGACATAATTTTTTTTTTGAAATATTTTTTTCATGTTTTTTTTTCAATAATTAGTGTGACAACAGACACCATTTTGGCAGCAGCCCACAACCATCCGGAGAAAATAGGGTCACATGGTCAATCGCGTTGAAAAAATTAATAGGGTCGGCAGAAAAAAATAGGGTCGGTCGGGAACCGGAACCACAGGTATTTTTTTTTTACACCCAGTCTTATTCATGTATTTTACGATACTAATAATTTTCTGAATCATATACAAAACGTTACCCAGAATGCAAGAAATACTACTTCAAGAACCCTAAATTTTAAAATTTTCTTTAAAATTGTCTGCATGTGTATTGCATTGTTTTGAAGAGTTTTTATATATTTTAAATGAATGATTACTAACATCCATACAATATACATTCAGCAGAATGTTAATGTTATTCGGAAGTTTAGGGGCACAAATGGAAATTTTTCTACTGCAAGTATTTCACGAGACAGGTACAACAATTACAAATCTTTTCATTCATTTCCTTGCCTATTTTTCTTTTTTTACTGTGCTTTTGTGAGCATGCGTTGTTCTGAAGTCAACAGCTGAGACCAGTCTCAAATGTTTACATTCATCCTGCTCTGAATTACCCTACTCCAAATTTAGGAAGATGTAGTTGGACCTTTGTCCCCACGAGTAGCATTGGACAACTTCAAACCGGTGGTTTGAGGCATTTTTTTTCGTCCTTGGTCTCACGTAAACGGGGTATAAATATTTCACACATATTAAATTCCGACATTACGAGTTTGTGACTTTTTAACATCCGGTTTCTTTGTGCAAACAATATAGTGTCAATAACTTTTATAAAAATATTTCAGTTCTGCTTCAAATAAAACACTTGGATAATTTGATTTGACAATAGGTTCTCATAGGAACACGGCAAACATGAATTAAATTATTCCAGTGGCTAATAAAAAGATTTTGTTCATCACGTAATATTGCTATAATCTATGCATGGCTGAAATTTATATACACATTACACAATAATACAAGTATACACAAGTACACAACAAGTAAATTTATTGACGAGAACAAGGGGTTAGAGCTATTAAATCAGTGTGATTAGAATACCTTGGCAGCATTAATATCCGCTTGTAATCCAGCTTGAATGTCTCCTAATATCCGAGAGCACCCAATATCTGTTGTTGAATCCAAGCTTTCGACCGAACCGCTATTATGTTGAGTCATTTCAGACATCGGCAAATCTCTTTCTTCATTCAACTCGGGAGATGTTCTGACTGAACTTGTAGCTTCGTCTTCTTCGGGCAAATAATCTGTGGATATCGTAGGAGTGACATTGTAATCCATTGCTTCTTTCCACTTTCGACCTCTCGCTGCTGTCGTATGTCGCTTCATAAAGTCGCCTAGCCAACCGAGTTTTTCAACTAATTAAAATACAACACCAGTCGGCCAAAAACCGCAAAACTAAAACAAGTTTTAATGAAGTAAGCAAGTTGAAAACCTTCCCTTTTAAAGGTAAAATATAAATGATTTCGTTTATTTACAACGCTGAACACTCCACTGCACATGTGATGTAAATTTTCAAAGAAAATAAGGTTATTTCCCTGGTTATTTCCGCTGTCATTTCAGATTGGCGGATCAGAATGGTGGCGTGACCTCTTACGCTGACTTCCGTTTAGACTTTGATATTGCAAATTGCAATGATGCATTTAATAAATATAAAATTTGAAAATTTGTGCGAGGCAACACATTGTTGACAATACAACAAAGCTGCACAAGCCATTTCAAGCCAACGCAACACAACCCATTCTCTTCTTTCGTATGATGATATATCATATTTTTGAGTACCTCAACCCACCCCTGCCTTTACTCTGACGCTAACTGGGGCAATGGCCCTTTCACTTTATATTTGAATAAAATGAATAAACGACTGTAGGGTGGGGGGGGGGAGAGCTTAATCAGTGGCGTAACGTTATATCAGGGGGCCCCCGGTTCAAAATTTTCGAAGGCCCCCTAGTAGAAGTGCCAAAGGCACGAGTCGAGCACCGTATAAGCACAAAGTTTTCTGGGGGGTCCAGGGCATGCTCATCCGGAAAATTTTTGAATCTAGACTCTCTGAGATGCCATTTCCTGGACTTTAGGGAGAGATTTTACAGAATTCTGATGGTCAGAAAATAACATTGTAACATATCAGAGGACCTGGCCAATGTTTTTGCTCTATCGCCTAAGCCTGGGGGCCCCCATTTGGCCCATTGGGGTTGGGGGCCCCCGGGTTCTCCCGGTCTGAGCCCATAGTAATTACGCCACTGAGCTTAATAGACAGCACCCCATGGGAATGTTTTACAGGGTGTCTCAAAAAAACCACAATGGAAATTCAACAGGCTGTTGTGCCAAACGTGGCTAAAGTGCTAAACAATAGCCTGCTCGCAGGCTACTAAACAATTCAATTGAATCATTGAATCCTACGATTGAATCACTGTTGAATCCTAAGATTGAATAATTGACGAGTGTGTTCACAAAGCTTAAAAGTTGGCTTGACTGTGGTGGAAAGAATAGTAGGGACAAGCAAAACTTTTTGACTTTCCTGGTGTGGACACACTCGTCCATGATTCAATCTGGGATTCAATGATTCAATCTTAGGATTCAATGATTCAATCTATGATTCAATTATTCAATCTAGGATTCAATGATTCAATCTAGGATTCAATGATTTAATCTAGGATTCAATGATTCAATCTAGGATTCAATGATTCAATCTAGGATTCAATTATTCAATCTAGGATTCAATGATTCAATCTAGGATTCAATGATTCAATCTAGGATTCAATGATTTAATCTAGGATTCAATGATTTAATCTAGGATTCAATGATTCAATCTAGGATTCAAATATTCAATCTAGGATTCAATTATTCAATCTAGGATTCAATGATTCAATCTAGGATTTAATGATTCAATCTAGGATTCAATTATTCAATCTAGGATTCAATTATTCAAAAGGACCTCGGCTCCGATCTATTTAGAGTGGCTCCGAGCTATTGAGAGCTCGGTTCCGAGCAATTTAGAATGGCTCCGAACCTAACGAGCATGGCTCCAAGGCCAAGCAATTTAAAGTAGCTCCGAGCCTATCAAGCTCGACTCCGCGCTTTTTAGACTAGGTTCCGAGTCAGGCTCGATCATTTCGAGCTAGGCTCCGAGCTACATAAAAATTTTTGGGACTGACAAACCTCAATGCCATACCATTCGGCCACGAAGACATTACCATAGAATAAAGATCCATATAGAAGGGCCACTTACGTCGGAAGCTTTGACGTTTCTGTCCTCGCGCATGTCGCATTACGCATGTCGGCCGCCATTCAATGGCCAGTCAATACACTCGTGACGAGATAGGCTCAAATTCTTGCATAAACCGAGTTATATTGTACTTTCATCGAGTCTCCAAACCATGTATTCTATTAACTGTGACTCAACACAGTATGTTGTGAAAATACATTGATTATTTTAATTAATTAAGCCAAAAATATTACAACTAAGACTGTTTGTTAAATTATTCTATAAGTACATTATAAACTCACCGATCAGTTGAGCCATTTTAAAAACAGTGAAATTAAACGCAATCAAAATTAAATTTAAATTAAACACGCTATTCTATTGTGACGTATGGTAACGCGACTGATGTCTGTGACAGGTAACACGACCATGTAACGCAACCTAATGGTAACAATGGTAACATGACTTGGTAACGCGTTACTTCCGCCGCTAGAACCGATGCTATCTGAACGAGGTGACGTCATACTAATTACTTCTGAGTGTTAGCTGAGCAAAGTCACGTCATTGTCGGCATCCTTTGCACTCCATAGTGGGGTCTATCACTACTACACATTATATCATATTACAGTTCAGGCAGCTGATTATGTTACAATTTATGAGTTACAGAGCTTCTGAAACCCAGGCATCTAACATCATAACCCCATCAAGGCCTTCATGGTCAGCCAACTGTGCACCAACCTGTAAATAAAACTGGTTTAAGTATGTGGACATTTTGTATGATATCAACATCCTCAATTAAGGGATTTCTTACCCTCAAACTATTTCTAATCCTTAGCTTAAACCTTAACCATAACCATAACCGCAACCCCACTGTGACCTTGGTTTAATTCAAACCCCGATGCCAGTTATGGCCCAATTGAAAATCCTTCCGAATAATGTAACTCAACTGTGTCAAGATATAATATAAAGATATTCAGTATACAGGGTGTATAAAAAAAAAACTGCACAGATTTGAAATTTGCTCTTAAATTCGCAAAACAGCTATTAGTATCAAGTTTTTTATGTACTATATAGCTTCTTTGGGTACTTATAATGTAGAAAAATGGAAAAAATTTCTCGAACTCAAATTTTGTGAACCAGGGGTGTGTGTCTTTTCCAACAAACTAAAAATGGCTTGCGCACGAAATTTAAAAGCTTTAATCATATTTTAGGTTAACAGATGGAAAGTTTGTTGGGTGTTTAACTTTAAATACTGTACAAAATTTCAGACAATTTGCTTCAGTTTACGCCCTTTAACCATTCACGCAAACTTACATTTTTTCTTAAAAAATCATCCATTTTCATGCTAATCAATGCCTTTGCCTAATTTGCATATGTCAGCAATATGCAAATTAGGTGAAGGCATTAATTAAGCATGCGAAAGGCTAATTTTTTAGAGAAAAATGAATAGTTAAACTAAAGCAAATTGTCTGAAAGTTTGTACAGTAATTAAAAACCCAACAAATGTTCCATCTATCAACTCAAAATATGATTAAAGCTTTTAAATTTTGTGCGCGAGCCATTTTTAGTTTGTTGGAAAAGACACACCCCCTGGTTTACAAAATTTGAGTTCGAGAAATTTTTTCCATTTTTCTACCTTATAAGTAGCCAAAGAAGCTATATACATCAAAAACTGGATACTAATAGCTGTTTTGCGAATTTAAGAGCAATTTCAAATCTGTGCAGTTTTTTTTATACACCCTGTATAATCTCTAATGGTTGCTGCCAGTGTTAGATAGCAACAATAACAAGACACTACTTCTTAGTAGCCACTCCTAAATTCCCAACAAAGAAACAACCTTCACTCAAAACGTTGAAGTTCGATCTGCTTATATTTTTCAGGTAGTTATATATTACCTCTCTCATATACATGTAAGTATCATGCATAAATTATACTTGCACTAATTACACTTTCAGTTTTCTCTGCCCAGGAAAGCATGACAAACTTGTTAATTTAAATATGTTTGATATTTTTGCCATTTCCCCCCCACAAATTTCATCATGTTAAATGTTTGGTATATTGTTGAGTTATCCTGCAGACACGCACAGACACACATACAACCCAAGGTGAAAATGTAACTTCCTGGCAAATCGAGGTTAAATCTGATGTCAGATACATTTACAGAATCCGCTATCCTAGCAAATGTTTTTGACAATGAAATTATGAGCAATTTATGATGGAAAAAAGTTTTTGTCTGCCAATTTCCATGCATGCATGAATGGTGGGCAAATTTTGTCATCCCACCCCCCCTAATTTTCCCTCCCATAAGCCTACGGATAGGAGATTATAATAAACTGGTTGGTTGGTAGACATGCAGTAAAGGCATAGATACACAATTAGAGATATTTAAAACAAACCTCCATGAATGACTGTGGTTGCTTCAGAAACATACACTCTTCTTGCATATGCTTCCCCAGAAATCTCTTCAGCATCTTTTCATTACATCCTTCAATGGGACATGTTGCTTCAGTGAAAAGGCAGTCTTTATGATGCTCCTGAATAAAGTTGACAAAAGTTGATTTATTCTGTTTTGGAAATTTCTCACTGATGAAATTCCTCAAAAATTTCAAAGATGATGCTGTGGAGCTTTCCTGAGAATTTTGCTGATTTTTGCATCTCCCTGGTTACACCTTATGCATAACATGCCAAGAGTAGAATACCCTTTTTGATACAGTCTGTATAATAAATTGCAGTAGCATATGTAAATGTGTTTGAAATGAAAGTACATAATTATAATTAAATACCTCCAGAATTCTCAAGTGGCCAGTCCACTCACAACCAAGATTTCTATTTGTGCAGAAACATTGTAACTGCAAGATTTGCCGATTGCAAAAAACGTCTTGGAAAATGTTTTGAAGAGACAGTTCAGTATCGTCCAATGGACACCTTTTGTCGCCACTAGATAAAAAAGCTATTTTAGCTAAAGAGCCATGTCATATATGCAGGGATGCCAGCTAAAATGACAACAAGGCAAGGCAGATTTATGCAGTGAGGCACTTTTAATTGTAGCATTTAACTGGAGCATTTGAATGTTTTATGTTTACCCAGTTCTATTAAAACTTTCTTTAGGGGGTGTTTATATGGAGGTGAATCATGCAGCCTAGGTACCTGAGCTAGCTAACTTTGCCGAGATCTAACAATGCAAATGTAAATTACTCATCTTCAGTTGGGAATGTAACCAGTGCCGTAGCCAGAATGATAATTGGGGGCACATATTCATATATTTGTGTTCTGCTTTATTAATTTCTTTTGAAATCAATTGATTTTATGGTATGTGAACACAAATATATTCATTTCATGTTGGTGTGAAAATATATTTATACAAAGTGACTATATGACCGGCAGCCGGTCACGGTTTATCAAATACTAAATGGCCGGCAGTCTAGTGACTATAGTTGAATATAAAAACTTTTGTTTGCGTTAACTTTTACCGAGCTTGCCATTAGCTCATACGGCAAGGGCGCTGCGTGCGGAAAGTTAAACGCAGTTGGGGTCGGGATGTGTTTTGTCTGACTTAGCATTGTTTTTTCTTAAAATTTTTTAAACTTTTTTTCCCGACTTTTCTAACTCTCAAAAGGTTAGGGTTAGGGTTAGAAAAGGGTTTGGGGTTGGGGATAGGTTCATCTTATAAAAATTCAACTTTAACAATAGTCACTAGACTGCCGGCCATTTAGTATTTGATAAACTGTGACCGGCTGCCGGTCATATAGTCACTTCGATATTTATATTATACTGTTTATAATGGTGAGCCCAATGGTGTGTTTTTGCAGGCCAGTCTGCCTCATATAAAGTCTCATATAAACATGTAGGATGCAAGGCAGCAAATTATGGGAGCTAGCTCACCCGGGCGGGAGGAAAGATTCAACAACATTTTAGCCTCATAGGGTTGGAAAATTAAGCAGTGTTCTCAGCACATTGTCAAGTACCTATTCCAGCCCACTAGCCCAGGTCCCCGGTCCCCATCCCAGAGAATAATGATGACACAAGAATGGTTTACTGTAACTTATCTGAAGCCCAAATATAGCAGTCGCAATTTGCGGAACAGAGTGGAAATGCGCGGGAAAAGACTAGTTATACTCACTTAATAATGACATTTTTAATGCAGTTTTCGCAGAACCGATGGCCACATTCGGTCTGAAATGGACTTCGTAATGTCATGAAACAAACTGGACATCTCAATCTTGAATCCAAGTCATTAATAAATTCAAAAAGGTAGCCAGCGCGTTTGTTGGGATGGGCCATATTGTAGAATGCCGGTGAAACTGAATTCCCCGATGAATAGTGCCATTCTGCTCAAAAAGTAAGAGCGATCAGTCGTATTCACCTCCAAATTTTCCAATTTATTTTCCTCAACCACAGTGCCGCCACCACTGTGAAGGTAGCCGCGGATTGGGCCTCAGATTCGGCCTCAGATTCGGCCTTAGATAAATACTTCCGCTTCCCCCAAACACATTGTAAACAGTTCATTTCTTCTTGAGTTTAGGAAGGCAAAAGCTTGCAAGCACAGACAAATTATACATTCTTAAACTCGTACATGCGATATTTTGTGAATCTGTGACAGTGTTTGTCGTGTTGACGTTGTAGTCTATAACACTGTCACAGATTCACAAAATATCGCATGTACGAGCTTTGGAAGATAATTCTACGCACATTAGAAAGATAATTCTACGCACTTTTTAACTTTTTAAGAATGTATAATTTGTCTGTGCTTGCAAGCTTTTGCCTTCCTAAACTCAAGAAGAAATGAACTGTTAAACTGTTTAGTGTTTACAATGTGTTTGGGGGAAGCGGAAGTGTTTATCTAAGGCCCAATCTGAGGGTCCTACTAAAGAATGCCCGGGAATGCCCGGGAACGCCCGGGAGTTGGAAAGAATGCCCGGGGAAAATTACGTTCATAATTACGTTAGTTTATACTAATAAAATCACTTATTTTATGAAAGATTAAATAATTCTTGTAATATATGGCATTGCAAAGTACTGTTCACGGAATGTCCGGCTGTCACAAAAGAATGCCCGGGAGTCGAAAATGAATGCCCGCGGTAAAATTACGCAAGTAATTACGATAGTTATAAATGATAACATTAACAAGTCTTTTATTTTTCAATGAAAGTTTCTTGTAATATATGGCATTGCAAAAACTATTCGCAGAAATTATTTATTTGGCTTTGTAATGCTAAATAATAATGAAGAAACATCTTTTTACACTACCGAAAATATATTTCACTGATAGTGATATATTCTGAGTAGATTTGAAAAAGACATTAGCGGTACGTAATTTTCCACAGGCATTCTGTGAATAGTTTTTGCAATGCCATATATTACAAGAAACTTTCATTAAAAAATAAAAGACTTGTTAATGTTATCATTAACTATCGTAATTACTTGCGTAATTTTACCCCGGGCATACATTTTCGACTCCCGGGCATTCTTTTGTGACAGCCGGACATTCCGTGAACAGTACTTTGCAATGCCATATATTACAAGAATTATTTCATCTTTCATAAAATAAGTGATTTTATTAGTATAAACTAACGTAATTATGAACTTAATTTTCCCCGGGCATTCTTTCCCAACTCCCGGGCATTCCCGGGCATTCAACGAATCTCCCCGGGCGTTCCCGGGCATTCCCGGGCATTCTTTAGTAGGACCGCAATCTGAGGCCGAATCTGAGGCCCAATCCGCGGCTACCTTCACAGTGGTAGTATTTATACCGACATCACAGAAGAGATAATTATGGAGTTAGGTCCATAGAGATTATAAATAACACGGGGACAAAATTAAGTTTACGTGTTGGCATGGCGGATTCGGATGTTGTGGCGTCGTGATGTATCTTCGTGTCGTGTATTTTTGCTGGAAGTTTTTACTTTGTCATGTTGTTTTCCAAATTTGAAAGGCCGGCGTTTTAATTCTTAGGCTATGTGCACACTGGCGTGGTTTTCGAGCGTTTTCAAAAACGTTTTTGTCCCTTTAATCACGGGCAATAGGACAGGTGTAGTGTTGTTAAATAAAAAGTTAGAAATGGTATTGTACTTACCCATGTATTATAATTATGTTTAGAAGATCAGAATATTCATAAATTCTTATTTTGTTTCATAAATAGTTCTTTAATATTCGAAACAAATTCCACATCTACTTTGTCTGCCGCCGCCATGTTTACTCGCCCCAATCTACATACTACACAGCATTGCCGCCCCTCCTGGCAAGATAATAAGCAAGCGAGAAAAATTAAGGAGAAAATAAGAGGGTAGGAACACCGTTGTCATAAGCTGGATGCAGTGACACTTCCATATATGGCACAAACGTATCCATAACTTCCATATATGGCACAAACGTATCCACGACGCGTTTTATAACGTTTTATTTGACGTAGGGATGACGTGTAATGCTGCTTCCCGCCTATGACGATTTGAATTAGTCATGTGATACAAGATTGAGAAAGCTGATTCGCCCAGAGCGATGAAACGCCCACGAAACGCCCACAGTGTTCCTACCCTCTTATTTTCTCCTCAATTTTTCTCGCTTGCTTATTATTTTGCCAGGAGGGGCGGCAATGCCGTGCAGCATGTAGATTGGGACGAGTAAACATGGCGATAGGCAGACGAAGCAGATATGGAATTTGTTTCGAATATTAAAGAACTATTTATGAAACAAAATAAGAATTTATGAATATTCTGATCTTCTAAACATAATTATAATACATGGGTAAGTACAATACCATTTCTAACTTTTTATTTAACAACACTACACCTGTCCTATTGCCCGTGCTTTAATCGCATTGACACCCTGTTCACACGGTCCAAAGGAGAATATCTGCAATATATAAAAATAAAAAACAATTTCTGTCGTAAATTAATAGTGCTTGCATCCGTTTTAGCGTGAAAACACAAATGAAAACGCTCGAAAACGTTACCGTGTACACGTAGTCTTAGCCCGATGCAGTGATGTCATTTCAATTCTTCGTTTCGCAAATCGGAAGTTTGCGTGGCGCATCAAGTCTTCGTGTGGCGCATCAAGCCCATCTTCGTGTGGTGCTTCAAGTCTTCGTGTGACGCATCAAGTCTTCGTGTGGCGCATCCAAGTCTTCGTGTGGCGTTTCAAGTCTTCGCGTGACGTTTCAAGTTTTCGCGTTGTGGTTTTGTTCGTTGCGTCAACATCGGTTCCAATGGACAGCGGAAGTATGATGGAGTATGCAATACTTCGTTTTACTTCGCTTAATACTGTAAATATAATAACAAAATCAAAATGTCGGACGTTGTAAGCTCTTTGGTTTCTCCTGAACTGAATTTAAAGCAATATGTTTGTAGTAATGTGAACGAGATAATTCGAATACTTGAAGGTCTAAGTCATGATCGGAAAGAATATGATTATGCTGTTTACAAATTGGAACAAGTTGTTCATATTGGGGTCCGTAGTGACACGCAAGGCTTGTGGCAGCGAATATTTCCTGATCAATTTCTAAATGATTTTATTGTTGCCTATAATATACTTTCGGAAGAAGAATCTCAGCCTATGGATGTAACGCACCGACCTTCAGTTGTCTATACAGCATCTCCTGGTCGCCCGTCAATTGATATACCAAGAGAGACATTAAAGATGTACCTTAACTTTGGATTTTCATTAATTAAAATATCAGAAATGTTGGGTGTCAGTCGGAAAACAGTTAGCAGAAGAATTGGGTTGTCAGAAGAAGTTCCTCGACATACTGAAATATGAAATGAAAACCTTGATGCTATTGTGTCCGAGATCTACCGATTACCGAATTGTGGTATACGTAGAATGAAAGGATTCCTCAATGCCAAAGGGATGCGCATCCAATGACCAATGGGAGAGAGTACGAGCATCTTTATGGCGGGTTGATCCCGAAGGAATATTATTGAGAACCATGCAACTAAATTTAGTGCAATGAAGGCATTATTCTGTAGCAGGACCCCTGTCTTTATGGCACCTCGATGGTAACCGTAAACTAATAAGATGGGGGTTTGTTATCCATGGCTGTGTTGACGGCTATTCTCGGCGAGTCATGTTCCTTAGAGCTAGCACCAACAACAAAGCAAATACTGTATTCACTCTTTTTATAGAGGCTACAGAAAAATTTGGTCTTCCCCAAAGGGTGAGAAGAGACCAAGGTGTGGAAAATGTAGACGTTGCATGGTTTATGTTTTCCAACCCATCTCGAGGACCTGGAAGGGGAAGTTTTATTGCTGGTAAAAGTTGCCACAATCAACGAATTGAGTGCTTTTGGAGGGACTTGTTCCATGGTTGTACTTTCATTTTCTATTACGTGTTTTGGTACTTGGAAGAGAATAATTACCTTGATATCAGTAATGAAACTCAGCTATTTTGCCTCCATTATGTATTTATCCCTTGGATAAACAGGCATCTCAACCTATTCCAAGGGGGATATGACAACCACCCCCTAAGAACAGAGACCAATATGACACCTGTGCAATTGTGGGTTTCAGGTTTGAATAATTTAGATGAAGCTACAGGAACACTAAGCAACAGTGCAGAAAGTAGCATTGATGCACATGGTATTGATTATGAAGGGCCACTACCTTCTCAAAGATTTAATGGTGAAACATGGAATGAAAATTCTGTAGAAGTTCCTGAAATTGCATGTCCTGTCAACGATACCCAGGTTCATCAACTTAGAACAATGGTAAACCCTTTAGGTGCATCATCTTCATATGGAATGGACATTTATTGCAGAACAGTTCAGCTTGTTGAGAATATGTTGGAGATAGAGTAGCAATGTTATACCCAGTTTGGTACCTACTGAATTATACTAGACCAAATTAGGGAGTGTCTATACTGTAGAAGCCCTACAGGAAGGACAGGTCCTTTTTTAGGGCTGATGTTTACCTTTGTGTAGCTGGAACCGATCTAGCCCTAAATGTAAGCTAAAATTGCAACAATACTTTTTATGATTGTTCTCCATTGTCTTTAGATGCAAACGTTTCAACTCCACAGGGCGAAATCTTATCTGGGAAAGCTAGCCCTCCTTTCAGGTAGACACCCCACCCTGTAGCAAAGGCTCATGTAAACACTCTCTTGTATTAGGGAATAGCACGTTTTGAGAACAGCTAATAAATAACTATGAACTGTCTGTGCAAGTGTAGGTCGTACCAATGTAAACTTGCTGTGGTGGGTGGGTATTTACTACCTAAACAAGTATGATCGTATCATCGTACTACTGAGTCTGGGACCAGGAACTGGCTGAGTTGGTATGACATGTAAATCATCACTTCATGTTGACCACCATGTTGATCCATCGTTTTATAACTTAAAGTTTTGCTAATTTACTAATTTAATCCTTTAAATTAATTTAAACCCTTAATATTGGTTCGGCAAGGTACGTTTTTAAAAATGAAGGAGCTTAATTAGGCTGGAATTCCACTGTCGCGTTTTTCTTACGTACGTATACGCACGTAAAAGTTTAAATCTTTTTAAATTTTATAAACTAAATGCTGTCATTTTATTCACTTAATTACTTCATAATATAAACAACTTTTAAATGGATTTGAACTTTTACGTGCGTATACGCACGTAAGAAAAACGCGACAGTGGAATTACATCTTTAGGCTTTTTCGAAGAATGTCAACATAAACAACACCAACAACAAGATTAGCAGTAATTGAGAACAAGTTCTTGGTCCAAAAAATAAGCAGAAACTCAACGTTGCGAGTGAAGGCCTGTCGTCAAGAGTTCGTAGCCAACTATTGACGAAGGGCCAACCGCTCGAAACGTCAAGTTTCTGCTTACTCTTTCGGGTAGTTAAATACCCACCCACCACAGCAAGTACTAACTTCTGCCCAATAAAATACTGATGAGACATGACTTCTAAGCAGAATAGATAGATCAATGGCTGAATATTAATTGGCCAGACAGTAACCAACATCAACTTTTGAATTAATTAAGTAAAACTTGGAAATGATAGTTCTAGGAGCTACTGTACTTATGTTCTAAACATACTATAGAATATAGTTGTCTGTAAAATTAATCTAAAGTTTATTATATTGAAAACCCTTAATAAACCCTTGACCCTTCCTATTCAATACCATATATTTATTAAAATAATTTAAACCAGGGGAGGCTGCTGAGGCGCTGCTCACTGGTTACTGCAAACAACAAAAGTGGTTTTACCACAGGAAACTGACATCAGATACTGTAAATGTTATTCTTATTAGGGATTTTTACCCAGCAGATTAATTAAGATAAATACAAGTAGGTTTCGTAACTCTACTGGGTTATAAATAGCATGGCAATATGCATTGCAGGGAAAGGGTTTTTTTATAAGAGTATAACCTCAATATATCAACAACCAACAAAATAACAACCAAACAGTCCGTAAGAATAGCATGCATATTACAATATCAATACCTTGCAAAGAACAAGGATTCTCAGTTACGAAGAAAATTTAAGCCTTAAACATTTAAGTTGGATATAGGCAATACTCAACTTGAAACTTTGATTATTGATTTATTACCATTTGCATTCAAGCGTTAAGCGAAATTACGGTTTGTTTCCGGTTTTGAGAACATGGGTTTGCCCAATGAAAACTGTACGTTTGACAGGTCAAACTTGTACGTTTGACATTTCAATTTTCAAAACAACACTTCGCTGGGCGGGACTTCGTTGTTAAAAACCACAAAAAAAGGCGTGACGTATTCATTTCGAGCGCTTTCTTGATTTTCCTTCGTCGATTAAACAAAAAATTTGAACATGACTGAAATTCAAATACAATTCAAATATAATGAAACAATTCGTAGTGCCATAATTGATGAGCCAGTCACATATGAAGAATTGGAGTATGAAATAAAGAACGAAATTCCGAAGATAAGAGACATAGAATTTGGCATACATGAAAACCACGATGGTGATTACGTCGTTTTGAATAAAGATCCCCGATGTCTTCGCCTGGCAATCACGTCTTCTTCAGTTGTTCCTGGGACGGATTTAAAGCGATTGAAATTGCAAATTTTCGTAGGACATTCACCGTCACAACGAAAAGAAAGAGATTTGGACAGCCCTATTGCTATTAAATCGCCATTAAAGAAACGGGTGTGCCCTGATCCCAAAACCGCAACTATTAGTGAGACCAGATCCAGTAAAAAATGTCTTTCTTTCGTATCAAGAATGGGTAAAACTCGCAACGACGATGACCAACATTTTAAACAATCTGCTTCAACTACAAGTCGATGTTCTGAGAATGACACTGACAGTCATATCAGTACACCATTTGAAAGATACGTGAAAAAATTGGAGGACCAAATACCGGTCTAAAAGATAACGAAATATATGGACTGGACGAAAAATTGTCAGCGTTTCAACAACGAATTAATTTAGTGAAATCTCAACAAGGAGATGGGAACGTCTGCCACAATTGCCATTTAAGACTCAATCACACCGCAAGAAAATGTATGTTTGATTCATGCACCACTTTGTTTCAATGTGGCGAAGAGAGATTTCATCCAACTGAAAATGTTGCTAAACAGTATACGGTGTCTTTGAGTAAACTTAGAAACGAAAAGGAACAGATGCGGAAAGATTTGGAAAGCAAGATAAGTGCGTCTAAAAAAGTTACAACATCTATTCACAATAGAATTGAGAACGAGCTTTTGCAGGAAAATAATGAGGCTTACTATGAAAGTGGTTTCAAGAATTGGACATTAGTAAGAAAACACGTTTACGCTTTGCAATGCTACAGCCAAAAATACCTTAACGGCAAAATTCCTCCGAAGCACGAACTACTCGAAACCCTAGAAGAAGCCCTTGAGGAATTTTCACCAGTCGAGCGAATGAAGTCGTTAGTACATCAAGCTAAACCTCGTAAAAAGCGCGAGTTTGCTAGTAAGAGTCTTTTAGAAGGATATGGCGTAGAGTTCCCAGTCGGGCCAAGGCCAAAAGACAGTATATCGCGCTCAGCCTGCAATGATTCGAACTATTCGAGAGACTATTCTCGTTTAATTCCTGAAAATGAAGCCGAAGAAGAAGCACAACTCGGCTTATGTATTAGAGAAAGTTTACGTGAAAGTACCACCATGCCAACGGCCACTGCCACTAGTACTGCTGGTGCCCCTAAACGAATGTACTGAAGGTAAAGGACCGAGATAATTCCAACATTCATTCATACAATTGAGCCAACATAATCGGTAGAATTTAATAATAGCAATGATAATGATAATATCAATATATAACATTAACAAAGAAGAAACATTGGATTTGGAGACAACTACAGACAAAGAGACTGCCGAATTGCTGCTTTCACTGTCACGAATGAAATAACAGCTTCCAATTGACAGTATTACTGTATATTAAAAATAAACCTCTGGAAGGTACGGTATTGTTCACACGGGATTTATAAACTAGTTATTTACTAAACTTAGACTTTAATAGTTTGACATTTCATTGACATCATATTAACATATTTCCATTCATATTATTATACAGGGTGTATAAAAAAATAGACCGTTTCAAATTTAAATTAACCTATTGAGTATTGTATTAATTTGACAGCCCTAATTCAGTAATTGTTTCGAATTAATTGTGCGCAAAAACACAAGGTCGTACACACATGGGAAATTTAGGATAACTTCTGATCGTAAGAAACAAATAACTGAAAGAAAAATGTTTAAACTGAGTTTAGAGATGTCAAATTAATACCATAGGTTGTGGCTAATTCGAATTTGAAAGGGCTTACTTTTTCTTGATACACCCTGTATACAGTATTTCAGTACTAATTAATATTGTGTTGTGTAGTCGTGCATGTACATGGTTTAAATCTCATGTATATAAAAGTTGATATTCTATAAGTGCAAAAATGTAAATGCAAAAGCTCAGGGGGTTCATATTATAATGCTTAATTAACTGAAAAAAATATAGAATAGACAAATTCCCTTTTTGTCTTAATTACATGTAACTCGAAAACTTTCGAATAGTCTATGCATGTGTACGGTAATGGGAAAGTGATGCTGATATGCTAGCCTCTACGATAGTATTTTAATCGACCGATCACGACTATATATAGCACTCGACCGATCACGACTATAGCACTGAAAAAGACCAAATTCAAAAAGTAAGGGTAATTATGACTAACGTGTCATGTAAATAATTATATGATCTCAGCATGCATGCATCTAAAGTCATTCAAACGTATTCAAACTTATAGTCCAAATATTTTTTACCTCTGCATGTGACGGTGAAGTTCGTAAAACGGCATAAATTTATAAAGGTTCAATATAGTTCAATGAAACAGCATATATTTACAGTTCGAATAAATATGATGTCAGGTTATAGAAATGAGACATGTCTTCCACAGTAATTGTTTCAAGGGCTAATACGGTGGCCAGTTTTAAATTTGCCTTGAATACTTTTTGAAAATTATAATTCAGCTGTGTTTTAATTTTATTAAAACATAGTTCAACGGGATTGAGGTCTGGGGAATATACAGGGGTAAATAATAATTCAATCCCCATATCAGCAAGGTACTCTTCGAGCAACTCTCCACCTTCATAATGGTGCACTGCAAGATTGTCCATGACCACAATATCGCCCACTTCAAGCGCTGGTCGTGTCGTCTCAAAATTGACTGCATTCGCAGCTTCTTCAAAGAAATTTAGGAACTGGACTGTGTCGGTTGCTCCATCCAACATGTTATAGTATTCAACTCCATTTAGAGAAACGAGAAGGTTTAAAGTTGTGTTGGGATTTTCGAGCTTTCTTTCCACTTCGACGCATCTTTCTCCAACAGGTGCATGCCCGTATAGACGAATGCCTGCATCTGGTGACTTTATACCCGCTTCGTCGAAAAACTTTATTTTTCTAGCGTCTTTCGAACTTAGGTAATTTACGAACAGTTGTGTATACAAAACATTTGTGAAGGTAAACCTCTGTAGCGCGACGTGCGTGATCTTCTTCCGAGAATATTTCTTGCCTGACAGTAATCTTGATTTTATCGCGCGGGAAATTGTTGACATCGCAATTCCGCCTTGGACATCTCCGAACTCTTCTAAAATTTCGCTTATTTCTCGCATTGAGATCGATCCCTTATTTGCTTTCAACGTTTCGATCAGTTCCAAGTCATTGTCAGTTAATTTGCGATTATTAATACGTAGTCCTCCACGGGATTGTACAGCAAAACTGTTTCTTTGGCAAAATTCCCTCCATATCTTTGCAACTGTTTGCTGCGAAACGCAGAAACGTTTCGCAATCTCGATATAAGTAACTGGAATATAACCTGTTAAACTGTCTCCTCCCTTCTCAATAATTGTGTCCAAGATTAATACTCGAAAGTCTTCTGATAAAGGTTTTCCACTAATATAGGATCTTCCAGACTTATTCGTTTTAAAATTATCCATTTGTTGGTTTTGAGTATAAACACTAAATCACTAATAAATAAAATCAAATATTCAAATGTATAAATGTATATATGTCTGTAAGCCCCGCCCAGCGAAGTGTTGTTTTGAAAATCGAAAAGTGAAACGTACAAGTTTGACCTGTCAAACGTACAGTTTTCATGGGCAAACCCATGTTCTCAAAACCGGAAACAAACCGTAATTTCGCTTAACGCTTGAATGCAAATGGTAATATCTAATCTTTGCCTGTAATCATGATTTTTTTCTGTGTTGGTGTAATGAACTCAGGTGAATAAGATGCTTGTGATGTTACTCTGAGTGTATATCCACACCGGGCAAGCTTTCTGGCGAATTAAGAAGTTCAACTTACTTGAATAATCTTTTCCAAACTCTCCCACGTTTCCTCCAAGGTCTCCATTGTGAACCAGGTGTAACTAAAATATTCAAATTTGGCAACAGTTGAAATAAACTCTGGAGTTTAGAGATAAATTTCTCCTTCCAAGTATTCAGTTTTGAAATGTGAAAATGAAGTATAATATTTTAAGATTAGGTACATACGGGTTGATGGAGACATGGTAACTCTTAATCTGCTTGTCCAGTCTTCGTAATGTCCTCATGTCTTCCTCAGCTTGTTGCAGCGATTCACGGAATTGTTCATGTTGGTCTTGAAGAACCTGAAATATTTCATAATACGTCATGCATAAGAAAGACTACAGAGTGTTGGTACCGAGGTTCGATTCCTGCAATATTCAGCTGATTGTAATCTCACCCCAATCGAATTGCTGGAGGGTTAGTCTTGTACCTTACTATGTGACTACTCACTCTCCAGCTATTCAAAAACAGCACTGACACTCAAGAGAAGCTCAGATTGAACCTCCACTCATTGAGTGTAAGTGAGCTTTTAGAATACAGGCGTTACGGAGGACAGTTAAGAACTGATACATAATTTGGTTAGTTTACCAATCCAACATCAACTAAGTGTCTTACCATGATTTCCTCAACAGAATTACAGCGAACAGGATCAGTCAAGTCTTCTTCGGCATTCTCGAACCAACTGTTGAAGGCTGAAGCTTTCTTAGCAAACAGCAAGTACATGTCTTCCACTTTCTTGTATTTGTCTTGTGACTTCAAAAGCTGTTCCTTACGAGACGCAGATGCTTCGAGCAAAGCTTGCCATCTATGTTTAGAAAAATCGTAAGCATGGCAAGAAGATAAATCAAAGCCAAGATTGCAAACTAAACATGTGGCCTCTGCCAAACACAGCAGGTGCTCTCTGGGTACTTGCATTTCCTCCTGTAGTATAGACTTTCTCCAAGTCTCTCTTTCATTGTCATATAGTATCGATCCACTATAGTGTACATTACATGACGTAGCACGGAGAGGCGGAGGGAGAAAGAGAGACTTGTCAACTGCGGAAAATCTCGGTTCAAAACTGAACCGAAAATGCAAGACCTGCTTTAATTGTTTTCTGTCAGTGTTTATATGTATTGATCTACCACAGTGTAAATAACACGAGTTCCATAATAGTAAATAATACGGAAAGAAATTGAAGGAAAACAATTAAAGCAAGTCTTGCATTTTCGGTTCAGTTTTGAACCGAGATTTTCCGAAGTTGACAAGTCTCTCTTTCTCGCTCCGCCTCTCCGTGCTACGTCATGCAATGTACACTATAGTGGATCGATACTATATGACAATGAAAGAGAGACTTGGAGCAAGTCTACCTGTAGTAACACTGGATCAATTAGAGATGATCCTTACTGGGCCTCACAGAAGAACAGTTTAAAACTGGTAGAGTTATCCAGTATAAATAAAGTTATTTTAGTTAACCTTTGAACCAGTTCGTCATTTCTTCCCATGATTGCAGGAGATTGAGCATGCTGAGCTTTGACTAAATCATCTTTCAGTGTGGTCACTTTCTGGACTCCTTCTTGTTCAAATGCTTGCAAACCTGACTCGAAGGTCACCTGGGAAAAAGCACAACAAATGACATGGGGTATTGTGCAAAGTTGGTGCAAAACCACCAAAGATATGCAACCACTACAAACATACAAGTTTTTTCTAGAGAAAATTCATTCAATATTAAGAGGAATTCCCAACATACTTGCTTATTCAGTAGTGTTTGCACTGAGGCCAAATCCTTTCCACAATCCTCAGACTCGACTACTGTAGCTTTGTCGCCTGGGAAATGGAAATTATACAATCCATTAATTCTAGCTTACATTACTAAAAAATTCCTACACCAATTTCCTCGCATGATATAGAACTTACTGATCCAAGATTCAACCACATCAGTTTTCCAATTAAACTGTAAGAATGCTGAGTTATCTGTCAGTTTGGCCTTGCGATAGTTCGATAGTCGATCCAGTTCAGCTACCTTGTTCTACAAAAGTAGACAAATATACACAATTATTAAACACTATTGCTGGTCGAGGCCCGAGGGTGCTTGAAATTGGGAGGATATTCGGGGCTGAGTTCTTGGTCAAACTGCGGATACCACAATTGAAATCTCAGCCCTGAATTAATTGTAATCAGTCTCATACACAAGTACCACTTGTCAACAAGATGGGTTCGCAACACGTAGCAAGCTTGTCAACAAGTTGTAACAATGCTGTTATTTTATCAAGTTGCTACAAGCTTGTCACTCACAACTTGTCAACAAGATGGGTTCGCAACAGGCTTGTAGCAAGCTTGTCAACAAGTTGTAACAATGCTGTTATTTTATCAAGTTGCTACAAGCTTGTCACTCACAACTTGTCAACAAGATGGGTTCGCAACAGGCTTGTAGCAAGCTTGTCAACAAGTTGTAACAATGCTGTTATTTTATCAAGTTGCTACAAGCTTGTCACTCACAACTTGTCAACAAGATGGGTTCGCAACAGGCTTGTAGCAAGCTTGTCAACAAGTTGTAACAATGCTGTTATTTTATCAAGTTGCTACAAGCTTGTCACTCACAACTTGTCAACAAGATGGGTTCGCAACAGGCTTGTAGCAAGCTTGTCAACAAGTTGTAACAATGCTGTTATTTTATCAAGTTGCTACAAGCTTGTCACTCACAACTTGTCAACAAGATGGGTTCGCAACAGGCTTGTAGCAAGCTTGTCAACAAGTTGTAACAATGCTGTTATTTTATCAAGTTGCTACAAGCTTGTCACTCACAACTTGTCAACAAGATGGGTTCGCAACAGGCTTGTAGCAAGCTTGTCAACAAGTTGTAACAATGCTGTTATTTTATCAAGTTGCTACAAGCTTGTCACTCACAACTTGTCAACAAGATGGGTTCGCAACAGGCTTGTAGCAAGCTTGTCAACAAGTTGTAAGAATGCTGGCATTTGATCGAGTTGCTACAAGCTTGTCACTCACAACTTGTCAACAAGATGTGTTCGCAACAAGCTTGTAGCAAGCTTGTCAGCAAGTTGTAACAATGCTTCTATTTATCAAGTTGCTACAAGGTTGGCACTCACAACTTGTTGATAAATTGTTGAATTGCAGGTAACAAGTTGTTGGAACAACTTGTCAACAACTTGTAGCAAGTTATCAACAAGCCGTTGACAACTTGTCAACTAGCTGGGAACAAGCAGTGCGAACACATCCTGTTGACAAGTTGTTGGAACAGCATTGCTACAAGTCTGTAGCCTGCGTGCAGGCCCAAGGGAACTGATAGTGGGCCTGCAACCATCGCCCGGTATTTTGTAATACGCCCCTTTTCATAACACGCCCCCTTCGCGCG